ATCTCTGAGCCTCTCCAAAGGTTTAATGCGCTTATCGTCTTGGAGGTGGAAAGCAATTATCCCCCTCTTCTGTGAGGATGCTGGTCGTGCAGGGATGTAAGCACCATGATTTGCAGCATGTAACTTATGATTCTGGGAGGTGAGAAGTAGATGAGGGTGCTGGGACCTACAGGCTGTGCTCACAGGTGTCTGCTCCCTTTAAAGAGGACTAAAGATGTTTTGGGCCAGAAAAATTGCTGTGGGAGCTTTCGGAGCATGCTGTGACAGTCTGGGGTGTCAGTGGTGGGAAGCACCATATTTTTCTCTCTCTTTTCCCTGGTATTTGAGCAGTGCAGGAGGTATTTTAGGAGCACTTTGACCAAGTGGAGCTGCTTGGGTGATAGCTAACTGGAGCAATGAGAGGTCTCTCCTGGAGAAGGTGATGTAGCATCTTCTGTGGCTGTGCAGCAGGTATGAAGTTTGAAGGAGAAAGGGTAGGACCCTGGCTGGGGCTACAGCCCCTCATGTCAGGGACTTCATTTGGTTGCAGGGGGCAGTCCTGTAGTGTTTTGCCAGTGTATTAACTCCTGGGTTCACTTAATGTTAGAAAGATGTCAGAACAACCAGTTTGAACTTTGTAATTCTCTGAGAGGACAGGGAAATGCTTGGGAGAAAATTTATTCAGCATCAGCAGTGTGCATTTGATGATGTTTCTGTGTGGACTTGTATATATTTTAACCGTTTTGCGTATCCCAAACCAGTGAAACTACTTGGGGAAATAATCTGTATGCTTGCCTTTAATTTCTCTGAAAACCCCGAGTTCTTTTGGTTTATCCATCCTTGCTTTACTAATGTTCACAAGCAATTTCTTCCTAAAATGTGTTGGCAATGTGCTGTTCCCACTAGCAACCTCCACCCTCTTCCATAACAGAAATAGAAGGGATAAACTGTCAAGCCCCTTGAAAAGCCAATAGATCATCTTAAACATTTTTTTTTCGCTCCTGAATGCTATCTAAGCGTTATGTCAGTTCCTTTTTTTTTCTACTTGAGTGAACTCGGTGGCAGCGGAGGAGTCATTATTGTCAACAGGAAGCCTTTATTGGTGCTGGACAGCAAGGTCTTGCGAGTCCATTGGTAGCGAGAGCTGACAGCCCTGACAGCTCTGGATGCGTCTGTGCTGCGTTTCTTTGTGTTGAGTTTAGTTATATGCATAACAGAGTTTGATGTCCGTGTCTTTTAGGAAGGGAGATTGGATTGCTTTTAGTTGGTAATGCCCAGATTTAGGGGAAAAGGTGGGATTTCATGTAGGCATTGCCAGCAGGTGGCTCGATTGCTTTGAGAAGCTGTTGGGATTTTAGGGCTTGAGTTTATGGTGTGCTTAAGGTGTCTGCTTTAAGTAGGGCCTTGAAGAAATGTGCTGCCTCTTTCAGCCCCTTGCAGATACCTCAGGAGTGGTTGGAGATGCTGGTTTTGTGTTGCTCCATGGAGGCTGGTTGTCAGGTTGCTGGTCGTAGGTGCTGCTTGTATCTTGCCATCAATGGAAGCTTCTTTCTTGCTGCAAATGGCAGGATGATGCTTGCCCAGAAGGTTTCCTCAAAAGTTTTGGGCCACAGCTGGCCCAAGAATCTGCTGTTGTATTGTTACAGCCTTGTCTCCAGTGGATCTTGAGAGCTGGATGCATTTTGCTGACTTTCTTCACAATAGATAAGTTCTTTTCAATTAAATGGTTTGCCATTAAAAAAAAAATAAAAAAAAAATCAGACCATACTGGAATTTTTAAGTTTGTTGGCACTTTGGTGTCAAGCAATCAATCTCCTGACAGCTGCTACTTTTATGTTGTATATGGTGGGAAGAACAAATGACTGCCTCTTGTCTTGAACACAAGTACTTGTAAGGACAGAATCTGCAGTGTGCCATTTGTTTTAGAGAGTCTGGTTATGAAGTGAGACTTTGGTCCCACTCCCTGGTTCTACAGCCGGCGTTGTGCCTGCAGGGGGAAAAATTGCAGCCAGCCTGAAGAACTTTGTCCAAGGGTGGTATCACACCCCTCATAAACAGTGTTTTCAAACAGAAATTACAGACATAATGCAGAAATTACTGGGTAAAACTCTCTGGCTGATGTTATGATTGCAGTTGTCCATCTGGCCTTAAAAACCCATGAATCTGTGATGCAGATTCTCGCGTTTTGGCTCTTGCTATAAAAGGGAATCATGAGAAAACTTACAGCAGAATGAAGCCAGCATAATAAAATATAAATCTGCAGTTAATATTAGTTTGTGAGTTCATTAAGTAGTGTATATTTTCTTCCTCCAGTGGGCTATAAATAATAGGTACTGCTACAGCTTGCACTCTGCTGTAGCTGCTTTCCACTGATGGAAATGTTTCCGAGGTTCTTGCCTGTGTGTTTTTAGTCCTAACTTAGTGAAGCTAATTAATACAAAACATCTGCTCCCTGATGACTTTGATTTCCTTCAAGAGCTTATTTTTTTATCCATTTGTTTTTGCTTTCTTGGAGTATTTTTGACTGTCACTTGTTGGAGCGCCTTGGATTTATACTTTTTGAAGAAATACTTGGCACAACAGGGGAAAACAGTTGGAAAATGAGTGGCAACAATACCACAATAAAACCAGCAGGAAAACTTTGACTCATGATGAAGACTCCTATGCAGTCCACGTGTCTTGGTGGTGCTATGAACCCCAGGAGAGGGTTGGGAAGGATGGGAGGTACCCACAGTGTGAGGAGGAATTGGTGCTGCTAAGGATGATGCCTCTTGTCGTACACCTTGACCCTTGTCCAGCAAAGCATTTCACCTGCTGCTGAATTGCCAGCACATGAAGATTCCCATGAGAGCCTTTTTGAGAGTATTTTAAATGTGGTTGCTCCTTTAAGCTATGGGTGTTGGGTCAGAGCTGGGGCAACCTTGATTTAGCTCCAACCTTTCCACATCCTGAGGAGTGGCGTGCAAAGAGGGCCAGGAGCTGCAGGAGGAGCCTTGAGAAGGATGCTGGAGCACTCGAATTGCACTCTTTTCATATGGAAGTTCAGATTCAGATGACCCAAAACAATGTTCAACTTCCTATTCAATTCGTAACAAATATTTTAAAGCAGAGTTTTATTTCAGTTTAAAAAAACCCAACATTTTGATTCAAATGTATTTTGTTTCAGAATGTCCCGATTGAAATCATGCAATGTTTTAAAATATTTATGTGGGCCTTAAGTGAAGGTTTCTTTACTCCTGTTTGGTTTTTTGATGGAAGCTGTAGTTACCAGCATATTGATTTGATCAAAGAGGGTATTCTTCTCCTGCTTTAGTTGTATTTCAGTGAAATAAAAGATTCGTATGCCTTTACAGCTTCATGGTATAAACTCCATCAGCTTTTACTATCCTGACCATTTTGCCTGTGCTAGAGCAGTTTCCCAGGAGTAACTTCAGCAGAGTGTGTCATGTGGTAAGCCTTAGCCTGCAAATGGTGCTGCTGCAGTGCAGGACGACTCTGGTGTGTAAGGATTTACTGGAAATGAATGCTTTTCTGGAAGATCCTCCAATGCTGCAGTGGCAGGAAGATGTGCAGCTGGCAGGATCAGAAGTGCTCAGTGTTTTAGCCTTTTGGTAGGATTTTCTTTCTGTTTCAGCTTGGTTTTTTTCCCATTTGAAGCTGGAGAGGAGAAAATGAAGCTGCTGTGGCTCATCCTGCTCCAGACCAGAGCCAAAGGAGCCACCTTGCTTCAGTGGTGTGACCAAAAATCCATGGAATGGTGGCTTTTACTTCAGGCATTGCATCATCATGACAGAGCTGTCCTGCTTTTGCTTGGGCAAGCCAACACCACCATGTGGCACTGGTTTAGGTGGCCATCAGATGGGCTGCTCTGCTGTGGGGGCTGCAATGTTGGCTTAGGTCAATGTTGAATGCCATCAGCAATGGCATTTCTTGTGCTTCCTTTCAGCTGCGGTCTCTCTGTAGCCATAGTGAAGCTGCTGAATGTGGTTGTATGAACATGATGGGGACATTTTGAGTAAAAAGCCAGATTCAGTCTCCCTGTCAAGAGATCCATGAGTGAAAAAACCCACTGTTAATTCACTAGCTAGGGTTCAGGGTAAAGGTTTAGGTCACTTCTGGTTTTGTTCTAACTTGACTGCTCACCCGTAGTAACCAGCCTGTCTGAGAACAGGAGTGTATGCAAATTCCCCGGGCTATTATTCTGTATTAAAAAAAAAAAAGGCTGTGGTATGATTTTAGACTTAATCATCATTTATCCTACCCTGAAGGCATGGAAGTTAATGATGATATAGATCTGTGCGGTTTTGTGTTCCCCTTGACTGAGCGTTAGAAATAATTAGGGCTTGTGGGATGGATGCGCTCGTGGTGGAGATGAGCAGAAAACATTTTTGAATGTGCGTGTGAGCCTCTTCCAAGTTTGCTGGCAAAGATACAGGTGCTAATTGTGTGCTTATGGGCTCTGAGGCTTCTTGCTTGTTTGTTGAGACATGGCTGGCTCATGTTGAGGAGAAAGAAAGTGGGAATAAATGAATTCTGGTATTTTGGAGGCCTTTAAGGTTGTGGACCAAGCAGAGTTGCCAGCCATTTCTGGAGAGATGTTTCTTCAACGGGGTGAGTTATGCTTGTAGTGCATGTATAGTGTTGGTCCAGGAGTCCCAGGCTATACTGGAGCTGGTAATGACCTCCTGAAGTATGGAAACTGTAAGCATGTAGCTGAGGGTTTTCCTGAATTACCTCCTTCTGCGATCTGAGTGTGTGTTTGGTTATTTGACAGCCAAGGCCCAGTGCATGCTCATGGTGTTCACAGGTTAGATGAGGAGGAGCTGGTTCTGGAGGAGACCTCTGGTCCCTCTCTGCCTTGTGATGGGTCAAACCAGAGATGATTTAAGTTTTCTTTATTAAGGTGCAAAAAAACCTTCTTCTATTCCCAAGCAGCCATGCAGTGAGTGGTGAAAGCATGTTTGGGATGGCAGCAGCCCTTGTGTAAAGTCTCTGCTAAAACCCTTTCTGCTGTGTTGCAGGTATGGACTTTACTGTTTCTTCTCCAACCTGGCCAACCCGCAGTGTTTCGGTAAAAGCAAAAATAATGTTCCTGGAAGGTGATGGGAAGAGTAGCACTGAACTTGTATGGATTGGCATAGTGGACCCTTGTGCTGGTGGCCTCAGGGCAGTGCAGGGCAGGAAAGCTTCCCAAGAGAGCATCCCAAAAATGTTGGTAGCACCATCACCCCACATGGGGAGCTCCTGCAGCTGAATGAGGCTAAATCCTGTTGAGACCTGGCAGTAATTTCCTGGAGATGGTAGGGTAGTGATGGTGGTGAAGATGCACGAACCTTACATCTGGATGGAGCAGTGGTAATTTGGATTTATACCAGAATTTTGGGGGATTCTGAAAGCAAAATGCTTCAGTCCTTCCAAGCAATTTAGAATTACTACTGGCTGATAGCTTTCCTCGGAGCAGATCGATTTAGTGCAGTATTTTAGAAGATCACCGCTCTCCAGAGCAGCCCAGGCACTGAGGGAGCTTCAAGTCACTGGTGGTTCTTCCTGGCATGTGAATTTTGGGCTATGGTGCAGTGCCTGTCAAAAGCTCTATCCCATTCCTTCCTATTTTGCTTTACACTGAATTCTACTGAAAAATAAGGGAAGCATTGTGTCTTTTCTGACTGGAGGTTTAGTATTCAGCTCCACTGGCTGACTCACCGGTAGGACAATTCCCACTGACTTGAGTTAGAGTTGAATGGCTTGTATTATCTTTTCATATGCAGAAAATTATTTTGAAATTGAAGTTAATAACAGCAATTTAAAAATTATGGTTGATAGAAAGATAATACAATATTTAGTTGTATCATGTTCTTTTTATGATCTGATGCTTGAATAAAAGCACTTTTTCTGCTTTTTTTTTAAAAATTAATTAGCATGTCGCGAAGAACTTTGTGTCATCAAACACACCGTCTAATTACATTCATTAGTAGCATCTCCAGGACAAGTTTTAATTAAGTTGTACAATGTAAATCAATACTTATTTTGCATCCATTGCAACTTCGACAGGAATATACTGTTTTGCACAGTTTAATTACAGTGATTGTAATAGAAGGTATGGGATAAGCCTGCCATGTTAGCAATCGTGCTCTCTTCTCTTGCTTTTTAATTTAGTATACAGTTATTATGTGGGACATGTTATTTGTGTGTCCTATTTTAAGGAATATTTTCAGATCACCTTTTTAATTGCGTTAAAAAGTAGAAAAAAATGCTGAGGCAGAAGAAGTTAATGAACATTTTACCTGAACACTTCAGGAGAGGAGAAGCTGCGTGATGTATCTTGGTATGGTGATGGTAGAAGATAGCAATACTTTTATTTTGCTTGGACTGTGGAGTGGAAAGCCACCTAATTGTATGTTTACTTACTGTGAAAGTGTAGTCTTCAAGTATTGCATCCACCAAATGTCCTGTCGTTCAATTGCATTGCCAGCTCCCAACTGTTTTCTGTTTTGGCAGGAAAAAGCAATCCAGACACTAAAACTCAGAGCTACCAAATGTTTTTGCTTAACATCCTGAAAATATACTCGCCCAGGCAGAACATCTCTATGCCTAATGATGGTGTGCTGGATTAATACTTGGATGCACTGAAAATATCTGGTTAGACAAATCTTTTATACAAGATGACTGATGCCAGAGCTGAGGACTGATATTTCTAATTTAGTGTTGATTTTTTTTGGTGTGTTTTGGGCTGGTTTTGTGTTCAAGGTAGTCAGCTTTCAGTACAGTACATTGATTAAGACCAAACTGACTCAGAACTTTGTTTTTCAAACTAAATCTGTTGTTTAATCTTGTCTTTAAATATTCTTTCAGACTTTAAAGCAGTATGCCTTTTATTTTACTATGATGTACTTGCAAGTCTTTTTACTAGCCGCTGTAAATAGCATAATCCTGATACCTGAGGTACTCGGTTGGCAGCATTTTAATTGTATGTGGTGCGCTATGGCCAAATGAGTGTGGTCAAAGGAAGGGTCTGTGTGCCTTGGAGGTGTTTGCTCTGGCATGTTTGGCTATGCCAGGGTAGCAAATCACCCCAATGGGGGTGCTGGAGAGGGGGATTATGATACCTGAATCCCTTTACTTGTACGTGCAACCTGTTTTTCTCTTCTCTAGCAGTCTGTAAGTACCTTCATGGCTGCATTTCTAAAGAAGTGAGCGCAAAGCCTCCTTCATCTGTTTCATCTTGGTCTTGGAATACATCATCATGGGCTGGAAAGCCTTTAAAGTCCAACTCTGTAAACTTCAACATGGATTTTTAAAGAGTACATAGGGTGGTGATGAGGAATTGAAGAACCAGGGAAAATGCTTAATTTCCAGGAGGGACAGGAGTACAAAAAGTGAGGCTGTCCTATGCAGGCAAATATACTATGAAAAGTAAACGTTGTAATCCAAAAAGAAAATCCTGTGCTTGTAAAGTAATAGAAAGTTCCTCTTGGGTTAAGATTTTGTATGACAGCTGTTGATTCGGAGGCAAGATTTTGGAGATTTAAACTCCTTGGTATAGGAGGTGACACTGGGAAGCTTGGCACCAGAAGCTGCCAAATTTTGCTCAGTTGTGTAGATATTTCTCAGACTTTTTACTCGGTATTTCATGTAATATGATGGGAAAATGCTATAAGCTTGGGAATATTTTTTTCTATTTAATGTAAATTGTTGATTGCTTATGTAACTAAACAGAGCCATGCTGAATTATTGTGTGGGGGAAAAAAAGAGAAGATCTCTCAGATACCTTGTAATGAAGTTGCTAAAGACTTGGGGAAAGATGTGGGGGAAAGAAAAGAATAGATTGCTGATAAGAGTAATACTTGCATATAAAATACTTCAAAAATTGGATTAATGATAATTGGGATAATCTGCATGTTGTTTCTTGTTTCATTTTTGTCTTAAAGGCCTGACGATGCTAGAAACTGCAACCTTAGAAATGAGTGTGCATGAACAAGGAGCTCTGTAAATTTATACACTGTATGTCTTATTTATGTAAACACACGGTGTGCACATATATATTTATTCCTCCTAGAAGACCAGATCCTAAGCACCCGAAGGATTTGGATCCTGCATAGGTCTTGTGCATTTGCAACTTGGTTTCAGTGGCAGATCTCAAAGGAGGAAGGAAATGCATATATAGAATTGTTCTGAGCATATGACCTCCTTCTTGGGGAGTTATTACATAGTATTCTCCTTTATGAAAATCCAGCTTCCTTGATTAATTATAAACGGTCTGTTTACCGTAGCCACCCAAATCCTGAAATATTTACTGAAATCTGTAATCCGTCCATCTTCCTTAACAGTATTTTTTTCTCTCTTATTTTCAGTGAATTTACTGGACTCGCGCACAGTAATGGGGGATCTAGGATGGATAGCCTACCCAAAAAATGGGGTAAGTCTCTGTTGTTGTTTGCTTTCTCTCTCACAGATTATACTAATCGTTTCTATTCGGAAAGTAGACTACTGGGTTTAAAAACTCCCTGGAGTGATTTGTCGGCAATGAAAGGAAAAAAATAAATAAAACAACAAGCTGTGACTGGAAAAATGGAGCTGTGTGGCTAGGGGATTGATTTATTTATGCAGTAGAGCCAGCCACAAGTATTAAAAAAAGCCATGAGTCAGCCCCCTCAACCCTCCCCTCACCAAGAAAATCCATGAGGTTATTTAATTTTTTTAACTTACAAATTCCTGTTCTTTTCTTCTGGAGCCTTTGGGGTAAATGTATAATACAATTTTGTGGAAGTTTTCTTCCACATACAGGGCCTAGGACATTACTGTTAGCTTTAAACAGAGCTGTTCAGAAATGCTTCTTAGGCTTGTGATAAAATTGTGGGAGCTGGTAACACTGGAACAGGAGCTGAGTTTCAAGGGCCTTGAAGAGCCTCTGTCTCTCTGTGTTAATTGTACTGAGAGGTGAAGGCACCTGGTTTCTTAATTTGATACCTGAAGTAAATGCTAGAGTTGAGATGCATTAATACCCTCCAGTTTGTCTGCTTGTCCTGACTGCATTGTGTCATTGCTGTGACTTACGGTCCTTAGTTTGGCTGGGTCATCCTCGATGCCGTACTGCAACGGAGCTTTGATAGTCCCGAAAGGCTGACTTCTGCACGGTGCTGTGAGTGTTTCTGTCCATCCCAGGAGCTATGAGCAAGACATGAGGTGAGGAAGCATCCCAGGACAGAAATGCTGCATGAGTTGTCCTCTCCAGCAAAGCAGATCTCGTGAATGTGTAATTCCGAAGTCTCAAACACCAGCTGAAGCAGGCTGCAGAACTGTCTTGGACTACCAGTTTGGTTACTGTAAAAGTGGTGGCAATGTTTATATAAAACGCAGCCAACCTTGCACATATATTTTACACTGTGAATTAAAGTCTGGGTTTCTGTGTAGATGAAAGGCTGTAGAAATGGCAGCCTCCCTCAGACAAGCTGCCTGCTTGCAGACACTGGTTACGGCAGGGATGTAAAAGCTCCATGGGGAGATGAGTTTATCCTGAACTCAGTTCAAGATTTAATCCTGCTGTGGTCAGAGTCTACAACAGCACCTTTTTCTCTATTGATTTAAATCTGAGAACTAAACTTGATCCCTTTGTGTTTGTGGGCATCAGAATAACCAGTTGCACACATGCTGGCAGAGCAACATGTTGATGCCGTGGCACGCCATAAAAATATCTCCACTTCTTAATGAAGATTTTTCCTTTTTGAACACCTGTTGGTATTTTTTCTAAGGAATACAGCACTTTTTCTGTGTAGCCTAATGTCTTTACAGGAATATCAGTAGAGAAATAACTAGGCCTGAAGAGTTGAGAAGATTTCTGGGGCTGTATGTGTAGATGAATCAATGAAAAGATAAATATCCTATGCATAAGCCTCAGTTGTGTTTTTTCTGTATTTCCAAGCTCAGTTTCCAAACAGCACCTGGAAGTGCACTCATGAATGCCAAATTAATGGTTACTGTCTGAATAGGAAGGATTTTTCTTTAACTTCCACAAATAAGAAGTCAATTAGGGAATTGGTTTTTTAATTCCTAGAAGCTTCCTCTTGATCTTTATTTTCCTGGGACATCATAAAAATTCATGAGGTTAGCCCAATTATCTCTTTTTTTTCTGGCCTAATATATTTGCAGTATTATACAAGTACTGAAAATATCCTTCCAGACTTAGTTCTCTAACCCCACCTTATCTGCTCTGCAATCAGCTGTGCTGCAGTCATACTGTTTGCTTAATTTCTTTAAAAAGATCTACCTTGCATAAGTACTTTAAGTAACTCTCACTTAAGGATTTGAATTTGGAAAAGGGAGATGGGGCTTTAGTTGAGATCACAGATATATGAGCCCTTTTGAGGTATTCTCATACGTATTTGTTATCTCAGAATGTCCTCTTAGGGAAGATTTTGGAAGGTTTTTGTATCTGCACAGTCCCTTATCAAGGAAAGGAGCAGG